AGATCGTGCCACTGCACCCTAGCTTGGGTGCCAGAGCGAGACTCCATCTCAAAAATAAATAAAAGATTAAAAAAAAAAGGTATTGACCTTCTTGGTATATGTCCTTTGAACCTACCCTTTCCCCCCTGTATATATGTGTGTGCATGTATGTGTGTATACATATACTTCGTATATTTATTTACTTATATGCTTTATTTTACTTATTTATTTTTTGAGACTGAGGCCCACTCTATTGCCCAGGCTGGAGTACAGGGGTACAATCTCGGCTCACTGCAACTTCTACCTCCTGTATTCAAACGATTCTCCTGCCTTAGCCTCCCAAGTAGGTGGGATTATAAGCACACGTCCAGCTAATTTTTGAATTCTTAGAACAGACAGGGTTTCACCATGTTGGCCAGGCTGGTCTCCAACCTCTGACCTCAAGTGATCCGCCTGCCTCAGACTCCCAAAGTTCTGGGATTATAAGTGTGAGCCACCACACCCGGCCTATTTACTCATATTACTTTAAAAGTGGAATTGGATCATACTGCGTATAATTTTTTATCTTTTTATCTTATACCAAACATTTCTATAGCATTAAATATTTGAAAACATACTTTTTAGTAGCTATAAGATATAGTTATAAATTTACCATAATCTACTCATTTTTCTGTTGTATATTTATTTTCTGTTTTTAAATTATAAAAATACACTAGCAAATATTTTTGTGCATAAGTCTTTCTTTGACTTTCTGGATATTTCCTTCCAGTAGATTTTTTGTTTTTTTATGATGAGGTCTTGCTCTGTTGCCTAGGCTGGAGTGCTGTGGCATGATCATAACTCACTGTAATGTCAAATTCCTGGGCTCAAGCCATACTCTGACCTCAGCCTCTCAAGTAGCTGGAACTATAGGTGCCTGACACCTCATCCAGCTAATTTTTTTTTTTTTTTTGAGATGGTGTCTCGCTCTGTCACCCAGGTGGAGTGTAGTGGTGCAATCTTGGCTCACTGCAACCTCCACCTCTGAGTTCAAGCTGTTCTCCTGCTTCAGCCTCCTGAGTAGCTGGGATTATAAGTGCCCACCACCACGCCCTGCAGATTTTTTGTAATTTTAATAGAGACGGGGTTTCCCCATGTTGGTCAGGCTTGTATCAAACTCCTGACCTTGTGATCTGCCTGCCTCAGCCTCCCAAAGTGCTGGGATTACAGGCGTGAGCCACCATACCCGGCCCACCCAGCTAATTTCTTAATTTTCTGTAGAGGTGTGGGGGTCTTGCTTTGCTACACAGGCTGGCCAGTAGATTATTAAGTGGGCAATTAGTGGGTCAATGAATGTGGTATGATTGCTGAATTGCTTTTCAAAAGTTTATACTCATTTATACTGTCTCCAGCAATATAGAAGGAGGTACTTCAATTACAAAGTCTATAATCCTGTTTTCTTCTTTTAAGCTTTCCCCCAAATAACATCTGTCCTAACTTTAACACTACAGATGTTCTTTCCTTTTGAGTTTTACATAAGTGTGCTATGCAGTATATATTCTTATGTTTGATACATATGTTCTTTTGCTCAGTATTATATTTGTGCAATTTACCTATATTTTTATAGCAATAGTTTATCTCATTGCTGTACAATATTTCATTGTATGAATATGCCACAATTTATCCATTCTATCAACAGGTTTTTAGAGCTATTATGAGTAGTGTTTCTACAAACATTCACATATGTGACTTTTGGTGAAGATAGGTGCACATTTCTGATTGGTAAATATATATAGAATTGCTGGTTCATGAAAGATGCATAGAAGTATATAATGCCAAATATTTTTCCAAAGTGGTTTTTCCAATTTTATCTACCACCAGCAGTGTGAGAGAGTTCTGATTGTTTCACATCCTTCAAAACACATATATTGTCTTTTTAATTTTATCCTTTCTGGTGGGTGTATAGTGGCATCTTGTTGTGGCCATAATTTGAATTTCCCTAATGGCAAAAGATATTGAGCATTTTTTTTTTTTTTTTTTTTTGTAAATAATATTTTTTTTTTTTTTTTTTTTTTTTTTTTTTTGAGACAGAGTTTCGCTCTTGTTACCCAGGCTGGAGTGCAATGGCGCGATCTCGGCTCACCGCAACCTCCGCCCCCTGGGTTCAGGCAATTCTCCTGCCTCAGCCTCCTGAGTAGCTGGGATTACAGGCATGCGCCACCATGCCCAGCTAATTTTTTGTATTTTTAGTAGAGACGGGGTTTCACCGTGTTGACCAGGATGGTCTCGATCTCTTGACCTCGTGATCCACCTGCCTCGGCCTCCCAAAGTGCTGGGATTACAGGCGTGAGCCACCGCGCCCGGCATTTTTTCATGTGGTTATTGACCATTTGAATATCCAAAGTTGCCCTTTTCCTTAAATTTGTAAAGTTTTTGTTCTTTTTAGATTTCATTTTTTGAGATGAGGTCTCTGTCACCTGCGCTGGAGTACAATGGCACCATCATGGCTCACTGCAGCCCTGACCTTCTGGGCTCCAGTGATCCTTCCACCTCAGTTGCTCAGGTATAGCCACGTACCACCACCATGCCCAGCTAATTTTAACAAAAAAGATTTTTTTTGAGACGGAGTTTCTCTCTGTCACCCTGAGTGGGGTCCAATGACATGGTCTCAGCTCACTGCAACCTTTGTCTCCTGAGTTCAAGTGATTCTCTTGCCTCAGCCTCCCAACTAGCTGGGATTACAGGCATGCACCACCATGCTTGGCTAATTTTTGTGTTTTTAGTATAGATGGGGTTTCACCATGTCGGTCAGGCTGGTGTCGAGTTCCTGACCTTGCGCTATGCCTGCTTTGGCCTCCCAAAGTGCTATTACAGGCATAAGCCACCGTACCCAACAGGGACCAAACTTTTAAAAATATATTTTGGATTTGAGTGTTTTATTAGATATGCGTGTTACAAATATCTCCTACTATATAACTTTTAAGACTTTTACCAGTTTAAGAGTAGATGTTAAAGTCAGTTTGAATATCTTATTTTTACAAAGAGAATAAATAAAATGTAAGTGAAATTATTTTCTGGACTTAAGTGAAATATATGTTACCTTTAATTTTTTTTATGGTGAAATTTTCTTTGGCCCGATTCCAAGAAGTTACAGTGTATACTATTTATAATTTCTTTTTTTAAAAAAATGGTATGATATTGAAGTGGTCTCTTGGTCTAGGGTAGTACCTGAGGTTCGTTGTCTCACGGTCACAGAGATTAAGGATGTGGACACACAAAGAGTGAGGTTAGCAGCAGAAACTTAATAGGTGAGAGAAAGAGAATAGCTCTGTGCTACAGAGAGGTGTCCTGGAAAAATTGGGTTGCCAGATCTGTGGTGAAATGCAGGGGGTTTTATAGATGAGCTACTGGCGAGGCGGTGTCTGATCTACATAGGGCATGAAAAACTGGGTAAGTCCAGATGTGCCTATTTAAACAGGGCATGAATATCTGGCAGCCCCCACCCTAATCTTTTATTATGAGGCAGGTTCTCTGCCTGAGCTAATACCATGTTGCTCATTTATTTTTTACTGTATACATGCTAACAGAAAAGAGAAAGTGGAGCTTTCATAGTGGACATGCCTGACCCCCAGGTAGCTCTTTTCTGTGGCTTCCAGCTTGCTTATCTATGTTTGCAGTTCAGTTTTTCAGGCTGCTCTTTGTTAGAAAAGAAATGATTTTGGAGTCTGCTTTTTGTTAGAAGGGAAGCTCTGCCGAGGACTCTTTTGCCCTTACTATCTGCCTAAATAATTTCTTTCTACCTACTGTATCGATATAATTTTACACATTTTGAAAATTTATTAGTAGAAAGAACTCCTTTTTATCCTTTATCCAGATTCTCTAATTATTAACATTTAGCTCCACTTTCCTTATTTTGTAGATTTTCTCTTTGTATATGTTTCTATGACATATGTCTTCTGAAATACTTTAATTTGTACACATTATGTATTTTTATCCATAAGTACCTTAAGTATGTATTTCCTAAGAACAAGGCTTCTGCTTACAAAACCACAACTCACTAGTGGGAAATTTTAAACTGATATACTACTATATAATTATAGTCCATATCCAAATTTTACACAATAACCGTCTTTATAACTTTACTTTTTTTCTGGTTGGGGATCTAATCTAGGATTACACATTACATTCAGTTGGTATGACCTTTCATTGTCCTTTCTAGTTACATACAATGTTTCTTTCTTTCTCTATAGATTATTGCTGACATTTTTGAAGAATACAGGCCAATTATTCTATAGAATGGGCTTCTAGTTACATTTCTCCCATGTTTCTTCTTGTTTGGGTTGAGGTTATACAAGTATATAAGGCAGGAAGATCAAAGAAGTAATGTTTTGATGTCTGCAGGGAATCATATTAAGAGTCATATCATGTCTCTTTATCCCCTTAACTATTGGTTCTAACTTTAATTGCTTTGCTAATCTCTTGTAAAAGTAGTTTTTCCTTTCGTAATTAAAAACTGACTCATGGGGAGATACTTTGAGGCTATGAATCTTAATTTCATTCTTAATCTTTTTTGTTGCTGTTTTTAAGAATTAATCTAACTATACTTTATCCCTCTCATTTTATTCAGTCTCTCAGATATGTTTTCTCAGAATTACTTTTGAAACATTAGATGAACTTAGGAAATTTTATTGTGGTCAGTCAGAAGTTCTTTTAAACTTAAAACTGACAAATCAGTAAATTTGGATTTTTGACTCCGTTTATTACACAGATTGGACTTTTTGAAGTGGAAATTTAGTTGTATTTATTGCCATCTATAATCCCAGTACTGACTTTTCAGTTGTTTTTGCTTAATATTATTAGAAAACCATAGGCAAAGTGTACCTCGTATAATATGATTGTTGTACCAGATATAATATTTGATGCTCACTTGTAACTGTCATGGGTCAGTAATAAAGTTGAGGTTCTTGAAGAACTTACATATGCATGGAGGAAAATATTTCATAAGTCACAAATTAAAATACTTTTTTGTTTTTATATTGCAGATTGGTTTTTCAGCAGCAGATGCTGTAACAGGACTGAAATTGGTAGAAGAGGGAGTACCCAAAGAACATTTAGCCTTATTGGCAGTTCCAATGGTTCCTTTGCAGATAATACTGCCTCTGATTATCAGCAAATACACTGCAGGTCCCCAGCCATTAAACACTTTTTACAAAGCCATGCCCTACAGGTAAAAATGAAATAAAAGCTTACTAAATAAGAAAGAGTAAAATGAGGAACATTCATCAGTATCACTAATATATCTGAGTGTAGAATTATATATATGGAAAAAGGTTTGAAAAGCATCTTTAATTTCGGTATCATTTATATGTACTTTTATCTTTTTAACCTCCTAACAGGTTTTAGATACAGCTTCTTTCATGTGGTAGGCACACAGATTTCTGTTCTTTTTGTTGTTATTTAAGCTAAAACGAAAGTCAACTCAATGTTTCTTTCTTTCTCTATAGATTATTGCTTGGATTAGAATATGCCCTACTGGTTTGGTGGACTCCTAAAGTAGAACATCAAGGGGGATTCCCTATATATTACTATATCATAGTCCTGCTGAGTTATGCCTTACATCAGGTAAGCTTGCTGTGGTTTTCTCAGGAAATAAACTCTTCTGTGTAAAATAAAAAAGGCAGCTTTCTACAGTTTCCTTAAAATAATAATGAATTTTAATAAATTTTAAGATTTAAGCACTGAGGAAATTATTGATGATAGACTTTAAATCTTACGGCTTTTCATTTAATGAGTTCTGTTCATGGAAAGAGACCTTTTTTTTTTTTTTTTTTCCCCGTGACAGAGTCTTGCTGTGTCGCCCAGGCTGGAGTGCAGTGGTGCAATCTTGGCTCACTGCAACCTCCACCTCCTGGGTTCAAGCAATTCTCCTGCCTCAGCCTCCCAAGTAGCTGGGATTACAGGCCCACGCCACCATGCCCCGCTAATTTTTATATTTTTAGTACAGGCAGGGTTTCACCATGTTGGCCAGGCTGGTCTTGAACTCCTAACCTTGTGATCTGCCCACGTCAGCCTCCCAAAGTGTTGGGAATGCAGGTGCTAGCCACTGCACCCAGCCAAAAGAAACTTTCTTATTCATTCATTCATTTAAAAAATTTTTACTCAACAAACATTTGTTATATTTTAGAATTGATTCCAACGCCAGCAAATTCTACTCTTGCTAAGTATCCCTCAGTCTGTCTCTAGGTTTCAGTTCATTCATTCTTGAATTCCTAATGTCTTTTCTTTCTGAAAGTATTGAGAAATACTAGAGGTCCTAGTTTCTGGCTTAGCTGCTGCTGCTTTTTTTTTTTTTTTTTTTTTTTTTTTGTTTTTTTTTTTTTTTTTTGAGGCAGAGTCTGGCTTGGTTGCCCACTGCCCACACGCGGCTAATTTCCTGTATTTTTAGTAGAGACAGGATTTCACTGTATTGGCCAGGCAGGTCTCAAACTCTTGACCTTAAGTGATCCTCCTGCCTTAGCCTCCTAAACTGTTGGGATTACAGACATGAGCCACCATACCTGGCCCTGGCATAACTTCTGTATTGAAAATTATGACTTATTCTTCATGATTTTGAAAGCTATGTCAAGCTGCTTTTCTTTCTTTGTTAAATACATTTGTAATCCCTAAAAGAAGGAATTTTCACTTTGCTCTAGCCTAAGCCACTGTTGCAGAATGAGATTTTTTTTTGTTCTGGCTGCAAGTGATTCAAGTTAAATGGCAGAGGCCCAGAAGTAACCTTTGGGACTTAACTGCTGTTATTGCTAATGAGTATTTCAGAGTCACTACGGATTTTTCTGTGGAACCTAGCCTATACCCTTTGAAAGTTATATTTGCTAATGTTTAACACTTAGTTTTTAAAAGAAACCTAAAAACTTGACTACCAGGAAATTGCAGCAGTTTTGTGCATTCTATAAATCACGTAGGAGAAATCCATAGTGGATCATGTCTAACTAAATTGTATGCTTATAAAATCATTGAGGCCAGACTGTCAAATGTAATTTTTTTTTCTGTTTTGCACATGCTTAGTTAATGCTAGGCATGTAATAGAAGGCTAAAGAAGTGTTTAAGCTAGTCTGTGCTTCAGTATTTCTGTTGGTATGTTATAGCCTAAAAAGCATTTATTTAGCTTTGGATTTCATTTAAGAATTTCCCAAAGTATAGTCACTGAAACTCAGACAACCAGATGCTTTATGGGGAAAAAAGGTACAAGACCAAGTAAATTCAAGAAATGACGTATGACATAAGCCCTCTGTAAATAACACCTTAATGATTTCTTCAACAAAATGTATTTTTATTTTGAGACAGTCTCACTCTGTTACCCAGGCTGGAGTGCAGTGGCATGATCTCGGCTCACTGTAACCTCTGCCTCTTGGGTTCAAGTGATTCTCCTATCTCAGCCTCCCAAGTAGCTAGGATTAAAAGTGAGCACCACCACGTACGACTAATTTTTGTATTTTTAGTAGAGAGGGGGTTTCACCATGTTGGCCAGGCTGGTCTTGAACTCCTGACCTCAGGTGATCCACCTGCCTTGGCCTCCCAAAGTCCTGGGATTACTAAGTTAATGTTTTTCTGTCTT